AGCCACTATAGGGAGCCACTATAGGGAGCCACTATAGGGAGCCACTATAGGGAGCCACTATAGGGAGCCACTATAGGGAGCCACTATAGGGAGCCACTATAGGGAGCCACTATAGGGAGCCACTATAGGGAGCCACTATAGGGAGCCACTATAGGGAGCCACTATAGGGAGCCACTATAGGGAGCCACTATAGGGAGCCACTATAGGGAGCCACTATAGGGAGCCACTATAGGGAGCCACTATAGGGAGCCACTATAGGGAGCCACTATAGGGAGCCACTATAGGGAGCCACTATAGGGAGCCACTATAGGGAGCCACTATAGGGAGCCACTATAGGGAGCCACTATAGGGAGCCACTATAGGGAGCCACTATAGGGAGCCACTATAGGGAGCCACTATAGGGAGCCACTATAGGGAGCCACTATAGGGAGCCACTATAGGGAGCCACTATAGGGAGCCACTATAGGGAGCCACTATAGGGAGCCACTATAGGGAGCCACTATAGGGAGCCACTATAGGGAGCCACTATAGGGAGCCACTATAGGGAGCCACTATAGGGAGCCACTATAGGGAGCCACTATAGGGAGCCACTATAGGGAGCCACTATAGGGAGCCACTATAGGGAGCCACTATAGGGAGCCACTATAGGGAGCCACTATAGGGAGCCACTATAGGGAGCCACTATAGGGAGCCACTATAGGGAGCCACTATAGGGAGCCACTATAGGGAGCCACTATAGGGAGCCACTATAGGGAGCCACTATAGGGAGCCACTATATGGAGCCACTATAGGGAGCCACTATAGGGAGCCACTATAGGGAGCCACTATAGGGAGCCACTATAGGGAGCCACTATAGGGAGCCACTATAGGGAGCCACTATAGGGAGCCACTATAGGGAGCCACTATAGGGAGCCACTATAGGGAGCCACTATAGGGAGCCACTATAGGGAGCCACTATAGGGAGCCACTATAGGGAGCCACTATAGGGAGCCACTATAGGGAGCCACTATAGGGAGCCACTATAGGGAGCCACTATAGGGAGCCACTATAGGGAGCCACTATAGGGAGCCACTATAGGGAGCCACTATAGGGAGCCACTATAGGGAGCCACTATAGGGAGCCACTATAGGGAGCCACTATAGGGAGCCACTATAGGGAGCCACTATAGGGAGCCATTATAGGGAGCCACTATAGGGAGCCACTATAGGGAGCCACTATAGGGAGCCACTATAGGGAGCCACTATAGGGAGCCACTATAGGGAACCACTACAGGGAGCCATAGGGAGGGTTGATGATTAATCACTCTACACTCGACTGTCACGTGACTTTTTCAACCCGTTCTCTAGCTGGTTCTGAACGACTTTTCGAAACCCTAATATCCCTCTTATAACCCTCTTATCTGAGGGGGGTGATTCGGAATCAGCGTCCGAAAATACATCGATTGAAGTTGGTTACAACCGTCGGGGGCCCTTTTAGAACAATCTCGAGGATCGACTGTAGAGTGATTTAGCACGCTCGATCACGAGGAGCAGAAACACTAGAGCTAGAGATTTTTATAACTCCCTAGCTTAATAATAATAATAATAGGATTATGGCCACATGGCCATCTCGACAAAACTTGAAACCCAACTGCACTCTACGCTATTGCAGTTCGCACAATATTATCAAAAAGAAAAATGTTCCTATCCGGAACATTTAATGATTAATTATTTTTAGGACGTTAAACTTAACATGTAGTTCTGAATTTAACAATCAAGATACATTGATTCCTCGGTATTTAGCAATCAATGGGTTATTAGACATGAAATGTGCATATGAATCATGCTCACATGTATTTATTTTTGACATCAAGGTTTCGCTGAGATCCCAGAAGTGACCCTTTGACGATGCTCCACTCGCTATCAGTTCATTTTTATAACATTGAAGTCGAGCTTTGAATGCGTCTACTGAACTGGCTTCTTTAACCGAACTTGGTACTTTGTTCCAGTAATTGGCAACACGGTTACTGAGGACCTGATTTCCTCTTTTATCTTTTAGGATCTTGGTACCGCTACGTGATATCCTGAAAAGATCTTGTCCATAGTCCACTTTACCCGTCGTTATTTTAAAGGTTTCAATAAGATCACCCCTCATACGGCGCTCCAGTAGTGTTGTTAACTGGAGGATTCTCAGTCTCTCATCGTATGGTAGGATACCAATCCCGTCGATTATTCGTGTAAATTCTCTCTGAACGTCTTCTATCTTCTTAATAGTCCTCCAGTTTCCGTGCTCTGCTGGTAGATTCCACACTTGCACAGCGTATTCGATGTGAGGTCGAACTAGAGTTCTGTAGACATTTAGCATAACAAATTTGTTAATGCTCTTGGATCCACGAACACTCTGGAGATCCGATGGATAGCAGCACACACAGGGTTGTGGGGCAATGAAAATAAAAAAGCAAATGAACTAGTTAAGTTGGGAACAGGCAAGCTCTTTTCTTGTGGGCCACCAGGTTAAAGGAGCCAATATAGTTAAGCCTCTCCTTACCCTTAATCAGTAAGTAGTGCGCCATCGACAGTCAGCCGCGCGTGTTACACAGCCGCGCGTGTTACACTTGCAGGTAACCACGCGTGTTACAGGTAACTGCGCGTGTTGCAGGTTGCTCTACCCAGAGCCCTCTCGATTGCAGTTGCGCGCGACCGCCGAAGGTGGCACGTGACACAAGCGCGTCCCGCAGTACGCGTATACACATAGCTATGTGAATGTTACAGGTAACCGCGCGTGTTACAGGTAACCGCGCGTGTTACAGGTAACCGCGTGTGTTACAGTTAATTGCGCATGTTACAGGTAACCGCGCGTGCCGACATAGGGTGTTTTTTAGCGCTAATTTCGGCCAGCACAAAATTCTTGAAACCATTGCATATTTGTTAACCTTCCTTCAATCCAATCTTAACAAAAATTGGTAAGCTGACTTATAATTTTACAAAAAAAATTGGAAACAGTTAGAGCATATGGAGCATTATATATATACAATTATCAAACATCATGTTACAGCTCAACTATAAACTCAAAGCAACATCTTTTGTCCAATTTTCATTACGATATCAACTTCAATGTTCACCAAGTTTTTCCAACAGTTTTTAAAGTCCAATTACAAATTAGTGAATTGTAAGGTCTTTAAACATTTTCAGAATGATCTTATTCCAGGAACTGAAGATATGACGGAATAATATACGACGAAAAATAATGAATTTCGTCAAATTACGCGACTTTTTTTGATACACGTTGATATCTCTTTTCGCGCGGCTGCCGGTATAGTGTATACAACGTATATCAACGACTTTTACGATCCAAAAGCTGCGCTTCATTAAATATAGCACTAAGCCGAGACAAGAAATTAAACTCACTAATCATTTCAAAAAAAGTACGACAAATTTAATTTAGTGAAAAGCTCACATTCTCAAAATTACAATGGTACAAAAATTTTGAAAATCCGAGCAAGTTTAATTTTATCCTACTTACAACTTAATGATATGTCTGTTTACAGATGGTAAATGTGGAGGAGCTCATGAAAGTGCTGGACAGACCATTAGACGAGAACGAACTGTGGCTACTACTTCTTGGAACAGCAAAATCACTCCAATCAACTGAAGGTAAAATCATAAATAAACTTCTCGCTGAATCTTCTCACTAAATAAAGCAATGTCTTCTCACTAAATAAAGCACTGTCTTCTCACTAAATAAAGCACTGTCTTCTCACTAAATAAAGCAGTCTTCTCATTAAATAAAGCAATGTCTTCTCACTAAATTGTAAATAAAGCAGTCTTCTCACTAAATAAAGCAATGTCTTCTCACTAAATAAAGCACTGTCTTTTCACTAAATAAAGCAATGTCTTCTCACTAAATTATGAATCATTGTAGGTTACCCTACTTTGAACCCCACGATGATCAGTGTCGACAGCAACGGACTCGTTCACATACCTCTTACTGAAAGTGAAGGTCAGTACAAATACCTGTTACTGAATAGAAAGGTCAGTACAGCAATTTATGGCAGTATCCAGATAACCCGACCCCTGTTCGCGAACAGGTGTGTGTGTGAACAGTTGTTCGTGAAAAACTTATGACATTGAGCAATTGTTTCATTGCGCAATATACTACGCTACAATTTCACATAGCCATGTGTATACGCGTACTGCGTGACGCGCTTGTTTCTTTTCGGCGGTCGAAAAAATTATGCTAGTCGTAACTAATTGCATCAAAGATACCATACATACCATGTATTTTTGGGGGGATTGCAGTGGATCAAAGACAACAATTGATTTAAATCTCAATTTTCTCATGTGAAAACATAATATCCAAATGAAAGTAAATTAAAGAATCAAAAATTGATTATCAACACAATGAATATAAGTAGTATAGTTATCAACACAACACAATGAATATAAGTAGTATAGTTACTATATAAATATAAGTAGTATACCTGGAGGGAGATTTGTTACTATACTACTTATATAAGTCAATATTAAAATCAAACAATAGGAACGTACAGTTATTTATGTTTTTGGATTAGTTAAAAAAATAATACTAATACTTTGGAGGAAAATTCAGGCTTCTCTAATTATTCAAACCAGAGCTGGAACTCACAGACCGTTCCTCTCTAAATATTAAAAGCAGAGCTGGAACTCACAGACCGTTCTTCTAGTTCTCTAAATATTCAAACCAGAGCTGGAACTCACAGACCGTTCTTCTCTAAATATTCAAACCAGAGCTGGAACTCACAGACCGTTCTTCTCTAAATATTAAAAGCAGAGCTGGAACTCACAGACCGTTCTTCTCTAAATATTCAAAGCAGAGCTGGAACTCACAGACCGTTCTTCTCTAAATATTCAAAGCAGAGCTGGAACTCACAGACCGTTCTTATCTAAATATTCAAACCAGAGCTGGAACTCACAGACCGTTCTTCACTAAATATTCAAACCAGAGCTAGAACTCACGACGTTGAACTCACAGACCGTTCTTCTTTAAATATTCAAACCAGAGCTAGAACTCACGGACCGTTCTGCCGCGCTCTGGAACACGTGATCAGAAAGGTGATTGAGGCGCTGATTAATCCTCTCCATCTCCATCTCCACCTCCCTCTCCGCCGTCCTAACATCCCTGATAAGCTCCCCTTCACTCACGTAGGGTTTACACTCCATTTCGAGGAATCTGGCGAAGTCCTGTCTGCTAGAACTGCTCTGGTTCATTACCAATTCGCAGATGTAGCGAAGTCGCTCTGTGTACGCTATAAGGAGGGCCTGGTTGAGAGGTTGAGACAGGGCTGAAAATACCATAGCTCCTAAGATCTTGAGTAAGATGAGCCCGCCCACTGTCAGCCAGTAGAAGGTCAGAATGTTCCACCAGGCGGGCAGACCTTGTTTAGCCGCTATCTTTAGCCCATCACTGTACGTGTAGTCACTAAAGGTCATGCGGTATACTCTGTAGAAAGCATCAGGGAAGGTGACTATCGTAGTATTATCAACAGTGGCTGTCACGTGGGGTGTCACGTGGGGCGTCACGTGGGGTACGTCTGTACTTTGGTAGATTGTTTTCCAAAACACGCAGGCTATGGGAATGTAGAAAAATATAAACATTACAGAGAATTTAAGAAGAAGACTGGCGAGTCTCTTTACAGAGACGAGGAAAGTTCCAAACTCTCGAAAGTAACGGAGCTTGAAGAGGGTGTTCAGCCAGACCAGGACTAAGACGCAACTACTGATCACAATGTACGCTACATTAATCTCCTGTCTTCTTTCTTCCTCCTCACTAGCCACTGTCATCACCAGGTCTAGAACCAGAATAATAACCGTCAATAACATTACAACCAGCTCGTTAACCTGCTGCACAAGCACCTTCCCAATCTTGAGCTGATCTAACTTGAGAGCGAGTCCCCTCTTGTCTCGTAGCAGCACTAGATAAGCTCGCCACATACAAGGATGTATATTATCCAGTTCCTTATCTACCAGTCTCATCTCGAACAGAATGCAATCCACTTGTTTCCTGTAAATACACCTTATCTTCACCACCAGGTAATATATCATTAACCCAGCGTAAGGAAGGAGTAAAGAGAAGGTTATTATCCTCCCCACATTGCTCTTATCTCTAAACGTTTTCCCGTTATCGGACAAGAAATGGAGAGTCCACAGGAGACTAAATGTGAAATAGGTAACTACGTTCAAGACTGCAGATTTTCTGCCAAAGTATTGCCAAGCTGCTCGAGTATAGGCTCTGATGACGGGGTGATCAATGACCTGCTGTTTTAGAGAGGCGAGGTAGAGATAAGGGTGTGATAAGTCCGTACTCTCGTAAGAAACCCCGTTCACAAAGTTGTTGAGCCACACACAGGACACACCCCTGTACTTACAAGTAGTGATATAGGAATCCAGCAACCACGTTCCAAACTCTGTGCTCTTTTCAACTGTCCGGAACACGAAGCATACTTTGTCCACTTCGTTGAGATTTATTTGGGCCCCGTGTTGGGACAGCAGCTGACAGATTTTATCGTTACCATAGTAAAGAGCGAGCCATAGGGGAGAGTAACCAAAGTTATCAACCTGATTACAGTTAACTCCAGACTCCAGCAGGTACTTGACACACTGGACACTGTTACAAATGCTAGCCACGTGGAGTGGCGTCCTGCTTGTGGTAAGAGCTTGTTTAGTGATCGACACACCATTTCTATCTAGATAAGACAGCAAGTCCGCTCTGTCTGACATGGTGCAATAGTGAGCTACCGAGAAGCCAGCAAGGTCCTCACATCCCAGATCTGATCCCGCTTCTAGAAGGATCTTCAGAGAGTTGACAGATCCGTACAGGCACATAGCATGCAGTGCTGTCTGGCCATTTATATCTCCTTTGTTCTTATCTTCTGCATCCTCACACACTATCTTAAAGTATTTCAAGTCCACGTCTATCTTAGGATACGGTGAGTCAAAAGGTGATCTGAAGAGGGATAGTTTCTGCTCGTCTATGTACTCGTGGATCCTGTAATCTTGGAAGGTCCTGACTTGAGCTCCGTACTGGAACGGGGTCGTGTAGCAGAGGGTCGGCATCTAGAGAAAATAAGTTAACAACTATTAAACAACCCTCGTAGTGATGATCACTAAGTACCAGTCTGTTAGTCGGTACTGAGTACCAGTCCGTTAGTCGGTACTGAGTACCGGTCTGTTAGTCAGTACTGAGTACCAGTCTGTTAGTCAGTACTGAGTACCTGTCTGTTGGTCGGTACAGACTGGTACTCAGTACTGACTAACAGACTGGTACTCAGTACTGACTAACAGACTGGTACCAGTCTGTTAGTCAGTACTGGGTACCAGTCTGTTAGTCGGTACTGAGTACCTTTCCCTCTCCCTCTCCCTCTCCCTCTCCCTCGATTATAACTTGGGGAATGGGGGGGCCAAAAGTCAGTACCCATACGTTGGTCTTAATAGCTCAGTCACTGAGTGCCCAATTGGAATAATTCTTTCTGGTATGACTTACTACCACCACTGGTTCGAGGAATTTGTCAAGGTTCATTTGTCAAGGTTAATTGTCAAGGTTCATTTTCGCATTTATTTGATAGTTTGGATAGTCGGATCGAGCCAAATTTTATTGAATGGTGTTTGGCCGTTTAAATTACGTTTGTCCTGAAAAAGTGAGAGTTCTAGCTTCTCAGATGACCGAGATATGAAGCTTAACAAGTCTGTTCATTACGTGTGATCGGGTGATTAGGTTGAGGCTAGATCCGCATTATGGGAATCGTGCAGAGAGCCCATCACGGTGTCGTTATTGGGTAATCATTGTATTGAGTACCCAATCAATTTTGCTAACGAGATAAACAAATTGCTTGATCATTGATAACTTTGTCATTTTAAATCCGTTTCGCACCATCTTTTCAGATTATATTCCGGATTAAATGACCTATTGCAATATTTTATAACGGAGTCTCTATAATATTCACAAACACGAGTATAAGCAATTCAATGTTGATTGGGTGTGGCCTCCAAAAATTGAATTTTAAAATTTTGGTGTCGGAATCCTCGAACAAGTAGGTACATCTGCAAAGAAACAACTCTCAAATATAAAGCACGGCGGTGGTATAAGACCCAACGTATGGGTACTAACTTTGCCCCCCCCCCCCCCTGTATATTGTACAATAAGTACGTAGTGGAATAATTTTGGGAACAATTTTGAACGGATTTTTGACTTGAAACGGGCAGAATTTATTTGAACGGACATTAAAATGAATGTTAGAGCCTTCAGTGTCCAATTAATATCCGTTGAAATAAAGTTCGGTAATATCATATTACCCCCTCCGGCCTCCCCCCCCCCCCCCCCCCCCCCCCTCATATTAAACATTACTCACTCCTTGTTGCCCATCTACAAGTAGTGTGTTTCCGCGCTGCATAGTTCTGTTGTCCTTCACTTTCACTTTTACTTTTGCATTTCTATTCAGGTTTCATTTTTGCACATTTTTAAGGCATGTCTGCTTGAAATTACGATGTTAACTTTACAATTCCAGGCAAAGAAAAGCTGAAAAAGAATGACACAGTCTGCAAGCTTGAAGAGCAGGTAAAAAACTGCAATTAATATCAGCTTTTATATTTTTATAAACAGGTCGATGACGCAAACATATATATTTTGTGTAAACCCCTACAAACAAAAATAAGTGTTGTTATAAGTTAAACTACAAACAAAATAAGAGTTGTTATTAGTTAAACTACAAACAAAATAAAAGTTGTTATTAGTTAAACTACAAACAAAATAAAAGTTACCCAAGAACATCCCTCTACAGACGGAACTATACCCTTCCTTGACGATCTCATCCACCCTGACAAATCCACATCAGTCTATAGAAAACCCACCCACACCAACCTCTACACCAAGTACTCCTCCTGCACCACCAACTCATCTAAGAACGCAGTCATCCGATCACTGACCAGAAGAGCCCACAACATCTGCTCACCCCAACACCTTGACGACGAACTCCAGACAGTACGACACGTTTGCCTCCAGAACGGCTTCCCTCCTCACCGCATCACCACCATCATGGACGAAGTACAACGGAAATTCACCAACCCCTCTCGCCACCAATCCCTAGCCTCATTCAACCGACAGACCCGTGAACATGCCCTTAGTGTTTCTCTTCCTTTCCATCCCTCCCTATCCAAACCCATCTCCAAGATACTCGGACAACACGACATCAAAGTTACCCACTCCTCTGCTACCTCCCTCCGCAACCTCCTCACCAAAACGAAGACCACACCCCCTACTCACCTCACTCCCAACACCATCTACGAAATTTCCTGCTCACAGTGCCCCTCCAAATACACCGGACAGACCTACAGACCCTTGATTCACCGCATGAAAGAACACGAACGATGTTACAGACTCAACAACGCCATCGACGAATCCACAGACAGAATCAAATCAGCCCCTGCACATCATGCCCTGACCACCGGCCACACCATCTCCTGGAACAACATCGAAGTCCTCAAATCCCTCACCTCACGCTCCCAACTTGACCTCACAGAACACGCTGCTATACAAATACGACAACCAGCCATGAACAGAACAGACCGCGCACCCAAATGTAGTTCCCTCTGGGACCCCATTCTTCCTAAAATTGCCAAATCCTTAAAGTCCAGACCATCTGGCATTTCCTTCTCAACCTCAACAGAAGACTAAATTTTTATTGACATTGTACTGTAATTTTCACTTTCCCACCCACACCTCCCCCACCCTCCATCCCTGACACCACTCAATCACATATACAATGATATAAGCATTGTCCACCCCATCACATTCAGCTGACGACGATTAACACATGTTTATTGAAAGCTTCTACAAGTTAAATCGTCGTATCTCTTATATGTTTCTAACCCAACTCCACTCAAAATAAAAGTTGTTATTAGTTAAACTACAAACAAAATAAGTTTTGTTATTAGTTAAACTACAAACAAAATAAGTTTTGTTATTAGTTAAACTACAAACAAAATAAGAGTTGTTATTAGTTAAACTACAAACAAAATAAATGTTGTTATTAGTTAAACTACAAACAAAATAAGAGTTATTATTAGTTAAACTACAAACAAAATAAAAGTTGTTATTAGTTAAACTGCAAACAAAATAAGTGTTGTTATTAGTTAAACTGCAAACAAAATAAGTGTTGTTATTAGTTAAACTACAAACAAAATAAAAGTTGTTATTAGTTAAACTACAAACAAAATAAGAGTTGTTATTAGTTAAACTACAAACAAAATAAGTTAAACTACAAACAAAATAAGAGTTGTTATTAGTTAAATGTTCACATCTAATATAAATTGTACACTCTACAGTGCAATTATTGTATAAAACCGCGATGTACATACAATTTACCATGCACAAGTTGTGAATATTGCAGTAAACATTTTAGCTATCATTTCCTATCGCGGCAGTATTAGTGACTAGTGTAACCCGTGCGTTTATTAGTGATAACTCGACAAAACTAATTGTATCTAATTTACTGCTGCCAGCTAATTATATCGAAGTTTTTGATACATTTCTATATGAGTAGTTAAGTTATTTAAACCTGGATCAAAAATCATTTTGCATTAATTGATTACTTTGAATATTCTTAAAAATGTATGCAAAGAAAGCAAAGTGAGTAGTTCGCTGGATTGCAGCAACATACAGGGTGTACCGCATTAACAATTATCTAGTTGCAAGATTGCAACATCATACAGGGTGTACCGCATTAATAATTATCTAGTTGCAAGATTGCAACAACATACAGGGTGTACCGCATCAACATCACAATTATCTAGTTGCAAGATTGCAACAACATACAGGGTGTACCACATCAACAATTATCTAATTGCAAGATTGCAACATCATACAGGGTGTACCGCATTAATAATTATCTAGTTGCAAGATTGCAACAACATACAGGGTGTACCGCATCAACATCACAATTATCTAGTTGCAAGATTGCAATATCATACAGGGTGTACCACATTAACAATTATCTAGTTGCAAGATTGCAATATCATACAGGGTGTACCACATTAACAATTATCTACTTGCAAGATTGCAATATCATACAGGGTGTACACTGTACCGCATTAACAATTATCTAGTTGCAAGATTGCAATATCATACAGGGTGTACCACATCAACAATTATCTAGCTGCAAGATTGCAACATCATACAGGGTGTACCGCATTAACATCACAATTATCTAGTTGCAAGATTGCAATATCATACAGGGTGTACCACATTAACAATTATCTAGCTGCAAGATTGCAACATCATACAGGGTGTACCGCATTAACATCACAATTATCTACTTGCAAGATTGCAATATCATACAGGGTGTACCGCATTAACAATTATCTAGTTGCAAGATTGCAATATCATACAGGGTGTACCGCATTAACATCACAATTATCAACTTGCAAGATTGCAATATCATACAGGGTGTACCGCATTAACAATTATCTAGTTGCAAGATTGCAATATCATACAGGATGTACCGCATTAACATCACAATTATCTAGTTGCAAGATTGCAACAACATACAGGATGTACCGCATCAACATCACAATTATCTGATTGGGAACCAGCTTTGTTTACTGGTTAATGTTTACTCAAGAATTTATACATACAATAATATATACAATAATTATATACCTAAATCCGCTAATAAGATTTCATTAATTATTGAATACAGGCGCTGCTTAGATAAATGCAATGCCTAGCAACCAACTCTTGCACTAAAAATAAGCTTTAAAACTGTCTGAAGACTATCCAGTCCTGTATAGAAAGTAAAAAGCCTAGTTGCAAGATTGCAATATCATACAGGGTGTACCGCATTAACAATTATCTAGTTGCAAGATTGCAATATCATACAGGGTGTACCGCATTAACAATTATCTAGTTGCAAGATTGCAATATCATACACTATACAGGGTGTACCGCATTAACAATTATCTAGTTGCAATATTGCAATATCATACAGGGTGTACCGCATTAACAATTATCTAGTTGCAAGATTGCAACATCATACAGGGTGTACCGCATTAACAATTATTATTGTAGTTGCAATCCCTTTATTGCAGTCTAGATCACATAGCCTTACTTTCTCATGGTGATATGTTTTATAGTGTTTAATAGGGAACAGTTAACGCTAATTTGACGACAACATCCCACATAAAAATATTAAAACTGTTTATACAATATTATCGAATGAGGCCGGGCTACACTAATACTATTAATAATGTATTCTAAGTAGTAACTCAGAAAATTGGAAATGCTAAAGGAACAAGGAAGCAGACTCATCGCAGTAGTAAGGAAACCTGAGCCAGTTATAATAATCGAGAAATGTAATTTGATACTAGGAACTACTTTTAACAAACAGCAGTACTAAGCTGAATACAGTGAGCAGTACTGAGCTGACTACAGAGAGCAGTACTGAGCTGAATACAGGGAATAGTACTGAGCTGATTACAGGGAGCAGTATTGAGCTGAATATAGGGAGCAGTACTGAGCTGATTACAGGGAGCAGTATTGAGCTGAATATAGGGAGCAGTACTGAGCTGACTACAGGGAGCAGTACTGAGCTGATTACAGGGAGCAGTATTGAGCTGAATACAGGGAATAGTACTGAGCTGACTACAGGGAGCAGTACTGAGCTGACTACAGGGAGCAGTATTGAGCTGAATATAGGGAGCAGTACTGAGCTGACTACAGGGAGCAGTACTGAGCTGATTACAGGGAGCAGTATTGAGCTGAATACAGGGAATAGTACTGAGCTGACTACAGGGAGCAGTACTGAGCTGACTACAGGGAGCAGTATTGAGCTGAATATAGGGAGCAGTACTGAGCTGACTACAGGGAGCAGTATTGAGCTGAATACAGGGAGCAGTACTGAGCTGAATACAGGGAGCAGTACTGAGCTGAATACAGGGAGTAGTACTGAGCTGACTACAGGGAGTAGTACTGAGCTGACTACAGGGAGCAGTACTGAGCTGACTACATGGAGCAGTATTGAGCTGAATTAAGGGAGCAGTACTGAGCTGACTACAGGGAGCAGTACTGAGCTGACTACAGGGAGTAGTAATGAGCTGACTACAAGGAGCAGTACTGAGCTGACTACATGGAGCAGTACTGAGCTGACTACATGGAGCAGAACTGACTACATGTAGCAATGTCTGTGGTACTGTGCTGACTATGTTTACCCAGGCAGTAGTGTTCTCAGTAGGAGCCTGTCTGTGGTACTGTGCTGACTATGTTTACCCAGGCAGTAGTGTTGTTAGTAGGAGCCTGTCTGTGGTACTGTGCTGACTATGTTTACCCAGGCATTAGTGTTCTCAGTAGGAGCCTGTCTGTGGTACTGTGTTGACTATGTTTACCCAGGCAGTAGTGTTCTCAGTAGGAGCTTGTCTGTGGTATTGTGCTGACTATGTTTACCCAGGCAGTAGTGTTCTCAGTAGGAGCCTGTC